CGAAAGAGGGGGTGGTCCGAAAGTAGAGTAGTTGACTTATATAGAGTTTATATTAAAAATTTGATTGAATTATATTCATCATTGGGTAAGTTATAAAAGTCGAAAATCACTGTTTTTGATATAAAAGGTGGCCCAAAAGGGGGGGTGGCCGAAAAGTAGGGTAGTGGACTTATATATAGTTTTAATTGTTTGAATAGAAATATAGAACAAGAATGGATTCATCCTGTTTATTTCTTCTAATTATATGATCTGTTTAATATCTTGTAGCTTGATTAAATTTGACTGGATTCATTCTCAGTCAGCTGAGGTTGGACGGCAATTGGGTGTGATTTGAGCTATCATACGTACTTGGTAAGTTATGGTTCAGAGCTGGGACATTTACCCGAAGTATCGATCTAAAGATTGCTTCCTTGTCAGATTGGGAGTATTTATGTTTTGTGAATTGCACAGAAGAGTTGACATAAGCTCAAAAAGTAAACATTTGAAGATCCAATTGACCATCTTTCTTTACTCTCATCGTTTGCGCTCCCTGCCTCCCTACCCCACCCAGTCAAGCTCGCATGCCCTCTTACAGCCGTTGTTGGACCTTTTCAGCCATGGAAGTGATTTTTAAAGAATATAATATCATGAATATAGAGTGTGTTTGAATGATTTCGTATTCTGTCTGACAATAGAAGGAAGTTATTGATACTTTTCCTTCCAAACCCAAAACGCCAGTATCTGCAACAAGTATCATCTGAGAGCAAAAGTCCATACACCCATCACGAACTCTCTTGCATTACTACCCTATTTAGATTTACTTCCTTTCTTCTTCTTCTCCTTGCTCTCCTTCTTCGTGGGAGCGGCCTTCGCAGTCTCATCTCCCTTTGTCTCTTCCTTCTTGGCCTTCTCTACCTTGCTCTCCTTCGTGGGAGCGGCCTTCGCAGTCTCATCTCCCTTTGTCTCTTCCTTCTTGGCCTTCTCTACCCTATTTTCCGCCTTGGCTTTATCTGCCTTAGGATCGATACCCTTTCGTTTTAAGGTATTCTTCCTCGCCTTCACCATATAATCTTCGTCTTCACCCTCATCCCATCCTCCAAATGCATCCTCTTCCTCGGTCTCTCTGATAGGCGTCTTATCAACATCCAGCTCATCCAACTCCTTCTGGGCCTCCTTCTCGCCGGGTATAATCTTTGGAGATGGACCCGTCTTCTTGAATTTAGAGACGAAGAAACCATCAACGTTGTAAGCATGGGGGTAAAATCTCCTTGTCATCTTCATGTTCTTGTCAAAGTTTTTGCCCATGTATGATGTGAAGCCCTCCTTCCCAAATACTAAACCGGTTTCCACAAGCTTAACGTTTGGTCTCTTATTGAGCACATACTGCACAACTTGCTCATTCTCTTCGACTGTAACACTACATGTGGAGTAAACAACATAACCTCCAGTCTTGCTTGCGTGGTCAACTGAATCAATAGCTGAGAGGAGGAGCTGTTTCTGTAAATGAGGAAGCATGAGGAAATCTCGTTCAGTTTTGTTCGTCTTCACACTAGCATCCTTGGCGATGACTCCAGTACCAGAACATGGTGCATCTAGCAAGACGCGATCAAAACCACCAATAACCTTCGGGAACTCTCTTGCATCATAATTGCACACAATCACATTCTTGGCACCCAGACGATGGATGTTACCGATAAGACCTTTGGCACGAGATTTGTTGCTGTCGTTGGCGAAAATGCAACCCGTATTCTTCATCAATGCAGCAATATGTGTTGTTTTTCCACCAGGAGCGGAAGCCATATCGAGCACACGTTCATTTTCTTGAGGTGCAAGAGCCATGACTGGGAGGAAAGAAGACGCAGCTTGTAAGATGTAATGTCCGGCAAGGTATTCCGGCGTGGCACCAAGTGGTACAGCACTTTCGAAAATTTGCAGACCAACTTTGGACCATTTTCCTACCGGTTCTAGGACTACCCCGCGGTTGATCAATGCCTGTGCAAGGTCTCTTCGATGTGTACGTAAAGTGTTTGTTCGGATGACGACCGGCCTTGGAGTTTCGTTGGCCTCGAAAAATGCATAAGCTTCCTTGGGTGGGAATAAGTTGAAGAGTTTTTCTGCTAAGAATTCCGAGTAACCATAATATGCGCAAATATCTTTGATCAATTGAGCCGTATACTCAGCTCTTGATCTACCCTCCTCCGAAAGTTTCGAGAAGTCATCTAAGACTCGGATAGTATCATTGATTCGAGATCGAAGAAGTTGTAGATCAGGAGCCAATAAAGTATTGGTCTTGGGTCCTTCTCCCTCTTCATCGTCACTGTCAAAAATATGGGGCCTATCTCCAGCGATATTCGTTTGCATGGCAGCTTCTTCCAACTCGGCCTGTGCCTCCGCTGCCTCCTCTGCCTGTTGCTCATCTAATTTTCTCGACAATCCTGCAATATTCGCAGCAGTAAGCTTTTCTTCGGCGTCGGACTCATCCTCATCCTCGGAGAACATTGCTTTTGGGTGATCATCATCCGAATCATACACATCACTTCCACTGTCCGAGCCAAGGAAGTCATCTGGGAGACCAGGTCCGTCATCATCTGAAACATCCAAATCATCGAATTCGTCGTTCATAAGATCCGCCGCATCGGAGTCGCCATCTTCCATCTCTTCATCTGACATGGGTAGTGGTGCAGGAGCAACCTTTTTAGACCTGGAAGATTTTTCCTTGGTTGTGCTTTGCGCCGCGGAGTTTTTCTTGCCATTGGTAGCTCCATTGGACTTTTTGTCTGAAGTTCGTCGTTTTTTATGAGGATCGGGGGCATATTGCATTGATTCTGCTCTGGATTCTGTTACAGACATTCCAGCTTTCCGTTTTAAGCTGGTGAAATGTGCTTCATCGAGCCGATCGGGCATGCCCTGCTTCTGCATACGTCTTGAAACACCCATTTTAATTGATTCCCAGGAGTTTCTCACTAGAAATTATGAGTTGAAAGTTGAACTTGAGAATGCGCAAATGCGATTTGAGAGTAACTTTTTTTCTAAACGAATATTATTTTTCTCGCAGATAAGGTTTAGCGTTATGCCGACTTCATAAATCTCGGGCGCCGATACTCCGATGCTCCGATGCCAAGATATCTAACAAGTAGGTATCTATCTATCTGGATGGGTAACACGAATGTACCTAGTATTAATCCGAATACTAAGTTAACAACTCCTTCGATAACAACTCCTTCGAATATTGCTCATAATGACCGAACTCACATTCGCCAAGTCTTTCATTCACATTCTCGAGTCGCGGCCTTCTAAAATCACTGCCGACCATGTTGAAGATCCAAGAAATTATCCCTCAAGAGGGGCAGTGAGTTTTCCCCTCTACTTTCCATCGTTACTATTCTTACTGACAAGGACAATAGGCTATCCTTCCAAAGATGCGAAAACCTCTCGCGAAACGTCTCAAGTTAGCTCCGGGGCAAGAACGTAGTATTTCAGTATCACTCAAATCATCACGAAACCCACCTCTCGACGTAATACTCTCTGCCCTATCACCAAATACTTCAATCCTCAACCTGAAGGAGTTATTATCCGAGAAAGAAGCCATACCTGTAGAAAAGCTGAGGGTGCTGTACAACAAGAAGCCAGTCGGAGATGCAAAAATCCTGAAAGAGATTATCGGTGAAGAGGAGACTAAAGTTGAATTTAGCATCATGGTAATGGGTGGAGCTTGTTCCGTGAGGAAAGTCGAGAATCTCGAGAAGACAGTAGAGGCACCTGTTGCACAAGGGCCTAGCGGCCTGGAAACTCTTGCCGGGGAAGAATTTTGGGGAGATTTGAAGGGGTTTTTGGTGCAGAGATTAAGGAATGAGGAGCAGGGAAACAGAGTGTATGAAGTATTTCAGAAAGCCTGGGAAGAAAACAATAAATGAGGCACATAAAATCACGGGGGAACATAGCAAGAAGTTTAGCACTGTACAGTTAGAAAGACACAAGCACATTGCCATTTCAGAGCGGGGTACTTTCGCAAAAGTCGCTTTTTGATGTCTTCATATATCGTCACGCTGAAATGATCAATCCGTCTTCAGAAGAAATTTACTCCTATGCATATCATCATAGACAATAAGCACCCAATAAAACGGCCTTCCTTCCTGTATGCTCGTTCCCAAAACCATGAGATTTGTGTCTATGCCTTGAGAGCGGCTGTTCCCTTGCTGACCGTCTTCAACATCTCGTTCTCCTCGAGGTCGCCCTCATCGTTTGCTTGAAGTTCATCGCCCGAAAGTCCGGATAAGGCACGCTTGAAAGCTTCCTTGGTAGAAGCGTACATCATTTTGGGCTGGGGATCTGTTAGCGCTAGAATGCAATATTAGACGGCGGAACTTACGAAGGTAGTAGCATCATCGGGGGACCACGAAATGAAAGTAAGCTTGGTTCTGGTAATATATTAGCCCGTGATCATAAGGCTAAATGTTGCTGGAATTACCTCTGTCCCTCTCCGTTGGCCAAATCATAATTGAAGTCATAGACGGCGTATCTGGGACCTTTACCCACGGTTTTCTGTAAGTGTTCATCAGCGCTTGCTCCATACTAGCAGCTTTACAACATACGTTCTTGTTGAGTGCCTTCGCGTTCACGAGAACCTCGCGGAATGGTTCCCAGTCTGCCGATTCGCTGGAGGTGTCGACAACAACCTTTGTGCCTTCATCGTTGATCTTGTAGACAATCCACTTGATCTTCTTTTGAAGCTTCATCTCGTTGAACTTCTCGATACATTCATCCTCGACGGTAATACTGTAGAAGCTTGTCAACTGATGTTCTGCAGCCCTGCTTGGATTATGGGTAGTAATATATTCGTATCAAGGTCGGTCGGTGGTCACCAAAGGTCATTAATGGTAGGGGGTTGAGTAGTGGGGTGAACTGACCCTGAGTTAGACTGTAAATTCGAGGCTTGTTAGTAAACAGTTGTATAATGGCTAATAGGATAAAACTACATACCATGGTGACAAGAGAATCTATGCGACGATTTGTTTTGTAGAGACTGCAGAATAGATAGAATGTCAGCGGATACTTAACAACTAGACAGATAAACAAATCGAACGAATTCGAGTCAAGATCAAGGCTCGGAGTAGGAACATACGTTGGGATTTTTTTAGAAAGGCCTGCTTTTCCAAAGTTCACTGTATGTTGTGGTGATAGAGAGATATTAGAGGAAGAGCGAGGGAAAGCTTGGGAGATGTTTATATCTTTGAGAGTTTTGGATTTTGCGAACGGGGGAACGATCCACAAGAAATTGGTGGGGTTCTTGCTGGTGTGTGATCACCTGAGTGGAACGCTAAATAAAAGATACCTTGTCTTTACTGATTATGAAAGCTGGCAACTGGCGAGAATTTACCCCTTTGACATAGAAGGATTATACGAGTAAGGTTACCGATGTATGTGATATAATTCAAATGCCATCAGGAGTACATAGTAGATAGACAAGGCAGAAAGACAATCGGTTTGAAGTTGTAGGCACATACATACTCATACTCGAGTAGATAGGGTACTATCAATTTATATACCAGTAACTAGGTACATACCAGGCTAGGTAACTGTAATGCCATTTATTACGGCTTTGCTACCATGTTTCAATCACAAGGCAGATAGATTCAAGAAAGACAGTCACCTATATAAGCAGCAAATCAGCCTCGCAGAATAAGTCAATCAATCAATTCATCACATTATAATAATACAAATATACATTTGATCTTTGTTTTGTTTTTGATTTTAGCTTCATTAATTTACATGGTCGTAGTCTCTTGAACACATCATATCGCTCCGTGACGAGAGGAACGAAAAAGGGTGAGTGGGGTGTTATACAACATTATGTCCGGTACCAAATTGTCTGATAGCAAATTGCGCAAACAGATGAGGCTCAGACGGGTATTTGATTTTACTTTGACCAACGGCTCTCTACATCATTCCTATCGTATTGTTAGCGCCAAAGTGCATTGAGACGGGTGAGATGATATAATGTACTAACCTCCCATACCACCCATACCTCCCATGCCGCCACCCATACCTCCGCCAGCTGGTGCTCCCTTCTCTTCTGGTGCCTCAACAATGGCAACCTCAGTGGTGCCTAATAATGAGGCAACACCGCTAGCATCAACCAGACCGGTGCGGACAACCTTGAAAGGATCAACAATACCAGCAGCGATCATGTCAACGTACTCCCCAGTAGCACTGTTGAATCCCTTGTTGAAGTCGGCTCCAAATTCATCCATGAGCTTACCAACAACTACTGATCCTTCTGCGCCGGCATTCTCAACAATCGTACGTGCTGGTTTGGTGATGGCGCTCTTGATGATGTTGATACCAAGCTGTTGGTCAAAGTTGGCAGGCTTAAGTCCACCTAGGGCTTGACCGGCAGCCTTGAGGAGAGCAGTTCCACCACCTGGAAGAATGCCCTCCTCAACAGCGGCACGAGTGGCGTTGAGAGCATCAACGAATCGGTCCTTCTTCTCACCAACTTCAACCTCTGAGGCACCACCAACCTTAATAACGGCTACACCGCCAGAAAGCTTAGCAAGACGCTCTTGTAGCTTCTCCTTCTCGTAATCAGATGTGGCTGGGTCGCTCATAACACCTCGAATCTGCTCGCATCGTTGAGCAATAGCATCCTTGCTACCTTCTCCGTTCAGAATGATAGTGTCCTCCTTGGTGATGGTAATAGATCCAGTGGTGCCGAGCATATCTGCTGTAGCCTTTTCGAGTTTGAGATCAAGCTCGTCAGTGAAGACAGTAGCATTAGTCAAAATGCCGAGATCACCGAGAATAGACTTTCGGTTGTCGCCGAATCCGGGTGCCTTGACAGCTGCAACTTGGAGTTGACCACGAAGCTTGTTAAGAATGCACACAGCAAGAGCTTCTCCATCGATATCTTCAGCAATGATGACCAAAGGACGACGGAGTTGAGTGGATGCCTCAAGTGCCGGGATGATGTCTTGAACGTTCGAGATCTTTTTTTCAGAGAGGAGGATCAATGGCTTCTCGAATTCAACCTTTTGAGACTTGGTATCGGTGATGAAGTATGGGGAGACATATCCACGGTCAAATCTCATTCCCTCAGTGATATCAAGTTCATCCTCCATGGTCTTTCCTTCCTTGACCGTGATCACGCCTTCCTTTCCAACCTTCTCCATGGCGTTGGCGATCAATTTTCCAATGTGGGTGTCACCATTTGCACTGATAGTTGCAACTTGTGCGATTTCCTCGCTAGTTGTGATATCACGCTTATTCTTCTGCAAGAACTCGACAACAGCTTCCACGGCAGCTTGTGTACCTCTGCGCAAGTCCATTGGGTTGCAACCTGCAGCAACGTTCTTTACGGTCTCGGAGAATATAGATTTAGCAAGGACGGTTGCGGTCGTAGTTCCATCACCAGCTGTCTCGTTGGTTTTCGACGCAACATCTTGAATAAGTCTAGCACCGAGATTCTCGAATTTGTCCTTGAGAGTAATCGCTCTTGCAACGGTCACACCATCTATCCACCAACAATTAGAATTGTACACTTCAATAGCCAAGAGTTTGAAAAACCTTTCGTGATCTTTGGGGAACCATATGCCGACTCGATGAGAACATTACGGCCTTTAGGTCCTAAGGTAGTGGCGACAGCCTTTGCCAAAGTTTCAACACCAGCTAGGAGAGATGCTCTAGCCTCAACACCGAATTTGAGCTCCTGTGAAATGGCAAACTGATTAGCATATACTCACCAAAGATTCATGTCATATATTCAAGGAATGAATATGTAACGACTCAACATACCTTGTGGGCGAATCTCAATTGTTGTAAAGGACGAAGCTTTGAAGCTGTTGATCCGGAAAGGACCGAAGCTCTAGCCCTAGAACTTAAAACACGCTGCATCTTGAGAATCAATTGAATGAAAACGCTTATAAAATCAAACAAACAAGGGATTTATTTTCGAAGCTCTCAAAAGTTGGAAATAGAGAAAGGGACGGGATTTTGTTGTTCAAAGGAAGTGGAAGTACTTGAGTAGAAAAGAATGGAGTCTTTTGGACCTTCGAGATAATTTTTCTGGGCCTCGTGCTCGGAAGAACCATTTTCCATCGAATCTGCGAGAATCATCTGGGCTCTTGGTAAAGCGGGACTTTCCGAATGAGGGGGCCGGGCCGCCGGGGGGATTACTTCTTGCTGACTAATGATTATTAATACTTTTCTTATTTTCAAACCTCACTTCACTTCAACTTCACTTCAACTTCACTTCACTTCACTCTAACTTCACTTCACTCTGAGTTGTAACATCAGTTATGGCTCTTCTGATATCTTCCTTACTTGAACAAGTGTGAATAAGGCATTTTCAAATTATTCTGCAAACGTTGCCCCTGGTGCTTAGACATTCTTAGGGTTAATTTGAGCAATTACAGGGTGATGAAGAATAGGAATAAAACGAAAAGACTAACACATCGCAACCTATACACTGTTTACTATTTATCTTTGGAAGTTCCCAAATCTCCAAATTGAAATGAATCAATCCTTGAATAGTACAAGTAAAACGTTCTCTTTATGGAGCAGGTTGAGAAGATCTCAAGGCACGCATTTGCTTGAACTTCATATCAGGTTGTGAATGTACGCCACCTACAGTTGAGACGAATCTATCGATAATTGACCTGGAATTTCTCTCAGCTGCCTATAGCATGTTATCATACCATTCCACCGTATTTCCTACATTTCCGACCACTTATGCCATCTTGAATTGGTGTCAGGTAAGATCAGCGTTTTATAGTCAATGTCATCTGAAGCGAGACAATAGGGGCGGCTGATCCCACAAAGCCCCTTTGATTTACCGCAGCTCTTCAAATCCCCTATGCATGGGAAGATCCTCATCACTCTATAGTGTAAGTCTCAACCCTGTCTCATAGAGCCTCAATTACATTCTACAGTTGATTTAGTGTCACTCACTATCCATGTAATAGCCTTCGAACTTACTCAATTAAAGTCACACATCTAAATATCTGAAAAAAGTGGGAGTTGATAATTTCACTCTTGAATTGGTTGAAGTGCTGAATGGGAGTGATCATCAGTTGAATATCGTCTGATGTCCATTATAAGTTTCTGGCTTGATTCGATAAGTAGATCCAATCACCAGTCACCTTTAGTCACCATGATATAGATATGGTTCTACTCGACTGATACATAGACTTCAAATCTGTTCATCTTTCGGATCACCCAAGATCTCACCAATTGTTACAGGCAAGTCTACCATCTTCTACAATCTGCCATCAAGACTGATTCTTCGATCCAATCATTGAAATTACTGCAATCTTGTAAACTCAGTAATAAACTACTCACAGCTGAAAGTATCAATAACTAATTTACTCTTCTATATGTCAGGCCACTATTTCACGTCTACCTCTACCGATTTTACAAATTTAAGTAATCTGAGAGGGTGAAGGGAAAGCTAGAGAGGCACAGACCTCACCTATTCATTGAACAATATGATCTGTGAGATTCACCCTAAAACTTTCCACACATGGATCCCGGTCTGCAATTTTCACAGCTCTTTTAGATTCCTACTAAAAGCAAAAGCTAGAATCAAGATTCCAAACACAATGTAATTTCTCGATGTCTAAGAGAATTTAATAGTCTGGTTCTAGTACGTGGTGAGCAAAGTTTACCCTTATTTCTTTGCTGACATTCAAGGCTGAAATAATCATACTGACTCCAAATATTTACAGAGATTAATTTCATCTCAACTACCCTTACACTTGAGTCATCTCATACAATGAAAGTAACACTAGTTTGGATGACTCAAATGGGATACCACAAGTACCAATTCCTCCTTGATAGTGAAGGAGTTATGGGATATCTAAGGCTATCGCTTACTTGCGTGCCTCTGCTGTCTGACCCAAGTGGGAATCGGCCGCTTGGACAAGCTCGCATTAACGACTCATACGATATTTGCAAATTATTATCCTGGCACCAACCAGGGGTTGTCAATCTCAACACTTTACAGAACTCCGATATTTTCATCCATTTGCTACATCCATTTGCTATGTGTATCCGGGAAAAACTGATCGTTCACAAAATCGTGAATCGTAAGTTCGCGAGACAACTCTTCACCTGTCCAGTATGTTTTGACTCACAATTCCATACAAATATCGCAAAGAAGCTACTGGCATGGATTAGCCCATCACATCATTCTTGATGATTTCGCCCACCGCGATCAAATGGATATTGGCACCTTGCGACAACATCTCGCAGCATTTCATGCTTGAGCTTTTATGGTTGTTTCGCCAACTGTGACCGGAATTGATAATGTGGCTTGTTTAAGATAGGGAGGGACTAACTTGCCGTCGAACTTTCTACGCATACAAGTTGGCAGAGTCAGCGTCGGAATTTTGAAATTCTAATGGGGACGTGGTGATACGACTATCCAAGCTCACCTCAGACAAGATGTTGACTGGAGCAAACACAAAGTTTTACCATGCAGTAAGAAGATATACCGCCTAATTGGAACGCGGCGATTCCATTGTTAGCTCAAAGTTAAACACATTCACGCAAGGCACAGGGGATGTCATAGAAAGTTGTCATTTTGGCATATATCTATGATACGGATTTTTCGATCCTCCATTTTTTAGACTGGTGAGCCAGCGACGAACTAGATTTTCCGTCTCACACAACAAGCACCCTACTGTTTGCGAATACCTGTCCACGAAGAAAGGTCATCGAAACAAGAGCAAGTCGATAGCCGGACGAAGAAGTAATGCGGAAGAATAAATCGTGCAGACACAACGGTTCTGACAAGATAAGGGCAAAAGTAACGTTCGCGTATTTTTGGTATGTTTATGTCTTTGAACCATTCTTGCTTCATCCGCCAAGCCCTGAAGACTTCCTCAATATACTGATCAGGTCGGCACAGAATGCGATGGATGGTGTCGAAAGGATTTTGGGTAGCCAGGGTTTCATGACGACTTTCTCACATCCAAGCGCCATAGATAGCGAAGAGAAGCTAAGGTTGAGGTAGAAGTATGGATCCAACTGGTTCAAAATCAATTGTTGATACAAAGAAGAAATAGAAAAAAGAGATGGTTGTACAGATCAAACCCCCCCTGGAAAATGCTGGAGGGCCTATCGAGTGGGAATTAATCGGCATCAAATCGTTACCCCAAGCCAAGGTTGATGTGCTAAGGTTTTGCAACTCCAAACGCAAAGATGGACTCACAGACCGTGATCCTGCTTGAAGGAGGTATCGGCGGTGTATTCCTGAACCCAACTCTCGCTGGGAGATTGAAAACGCTGGCCAGGAGCGATACTAGCATTGCCGTAATCAAATGCACCCCCGCCGTAGTCGGTGCCGGTTGAACCATGAGCAAAGCTACTGTTGCTGGAACTGACCCCAGTGCCATGAGAGAATGAACGCATGCCGCTATGACCTCCGTTCATACCTTGCATCATACCATTCGAGGCACCGTAAGTTGAGCCGACATTCAGATCGGATGCTGCATTGAAACCATGCAGGCCGAAATACATTCCTTGGGAAAATACGTTATTGTCGTGAGTGTTCTCAAAGGACGTGGCTCCAACATTGGCAAAACCCTGGCTATCGAAGCCCGGGGTATATACAGGGGTATATCCTGAGGCATTCAACGGACCGCGCGGACTGTAAAGTCCATAACCGTGGTTTATCCCTCCGACGTAGTCGTTAGGAGGCAACAAACCTAGGCTTCGTAGCTGAAGGTTATGGTTATTGTCGAGGCTTGAATATTCGGAACCAAAAACATCATCGCCGTCGCGGGCAGAACTATCAACAGCCGTCTCTGCGTCATCGGGGGTTTTCACAGACTCTCCATCATCCACCCTGTCATCGACTGTTAATGTGCCTTGAGCAGAGCTGCTGGCAACGTCCGCAGGAAATCGACTGAGTAAACCCGGAGAAAGCTTGAGCTTAACTGGCAAAGCAGCTAGAGGTGTTATCGCATGATTTTCTGAGCCCCTCTTCTTGCTTGGCGTCTCTTCAAGGTATATCTCATTATCGGAATACCCAGACGATGCATCTTCAGACTCCGTTGCCTTATCCATGTCCTCATCCGTCTCGCACTTACGCTCGGCCTTAACCTTAACCTTACGCTTGCGATAGCCCTTAAGCTTAAGACGGTTTCCCGGGTCATAATCCTCGTCTGATGGCATCTCGGCAGGGTCGAGTGATTCAGATCGCTCCTTCTTGATCTTTACTGTCTTCTCTTTTCGCTCGGGCTTTGGCTTGGAGGGCTGCCTATCAGGATGAGTGCGAGCGCGGAGTATCTTGGTAGGTGTTTCTTCGGCGATGGTTGTCTTGTTGCTTTGCCATCGAGCCTTATCGCGACGATAGGTTCCAGAACCTCTGGAAACACCAGGTACAATAAGACTCTCTTTTAGGTCAACAATCTCTTCATCCCACCCAACAGGTCGAGATGTTCTTGGGTCTCCAGCGTCCATGTCACGAATGTAGCCACGGATGCTCGGATCAAACACAGCTTTCTTTCCCAAAGGAGGAGGAACAAGGTGACCTTCTGTGATAAGGACGTCACGCATCTTGTTGATATACTGCTGAGCGGCGGCACCTGAGCTCGCAGGATATAGTCGGTGAGCGATCTTGTCCCATGGAAGATTGATACCAGCACGGCGACACTCGAATACGATGTGCAAGATTAACTTCTCCATCATTCGAGTTCCTATGACCCCATTAGCCTATGTAGTTCAAGGTGGTGCGAAAAGGTAAGCTTACTATGCCATGCAACAAGCTTGCGACCTTCGGCTCGACCATTTGGATGAGTAGGTTTGCCGGTAGATCCAATAACTTTATTTACTTGGTCCCAGGTGTTTTCATCAGATCGAACGCCATCGTTGTCATCTTCCCATTCGTCACCATTATCGTCATCTTCTGCGAGCATTTCACCAAGCAATTCGTCACGTAAATTCTTCGAACCTTTTGTATCCTTCTTCTCTGCAAAAAAGATTAGCTCAAACACGATTTACATGCCTTCCTTTCCGAGCCGAGTAGTGAATGTCGGTACTGATGTACACTAGTGAAAAGGGAAACAACTGCCTGACGACTTACTTGGACTTTGTCGTGTCTTGGAAATTTTATCAGCCACAACCTTGGTACTGGCAGCTCTCTTGGGAGATTGCGATCTGGCTCTCTTTCTTGCTCTTCCCCGACCAGCTCTAGCTGAAGACTTGGCAGGCGTAACGGGGTCATAGCTCTCGTCCACCTCGATCGAGGCGATGGGACGATCTCTGGTAGTTAGGGTAGCCTTGGATCTAGAGATAGCTCTAGATTTGGCTGGTGTGGCGACAGAACCACGCCGGTCAGATTCTTGCATCTCGACTTTGATAATACTTTCTTCGATATTTTCGAGGCCTTGATTATGGTCATGTGCGTTCGTCATGTTCATATTCATATTCCTGTCGATGGAAGGCATGCTTGCGAATTTTTAACTGGTCATGCGTTGTGTTGGTCGTTATAAATTTGCAAAGGTTGTTGAAGTATGTAAGAGGAATTTTCTGTAAAGCCCAAATCTTTGTTAGCTTTTGTGAACTGAGCACCTTGCGAAACTTTTGATCTACAGTGTGGTTATGGGATAGCTATGCCAAAAGCGGAAATATTGAGCGGGGAAGTGTAGATTGAGATATACAAAGTGAAGTGAATAGAGAAGTAGAAGAACATCAGTACGAATTGGAATGCAACAGCAAAAGATAATATGAAATGGGCATATATACTGAAAGAGAAAGGCTATACAAGCATTGACATCTGTATACAGATGATTGCTTTCTTGGGGCTGTAAGTTGTATCTCCTGCAGTTAAGCAAGGATTCAGTCGAAGAGTCTGTGAAGTCTGACACAAGATAAAAAGATTCTTTGGGTAAAAGACGAGGAGAAAGTATATGTATACATATACACGATCTATGGATGTAAGCGTGTCAAGTGAAACCATTCGATTGACCTTGAATCTCTCGATCTTGTTGTGATTGCTTCCGCTTGCGACAATGCTGCTGAAAACAGTGATCTGCGGCGACACCATTGTCATTAAGAGTAAATATTTCTTTTTGAATTGATGGCTCCTCAAATCAGATACTTCACAATAGTCTGATAGCATACCATACTCACTCTGTGTGCTGGGAGTATGGGTAATGGGTAATAAAACAATCATGGCGTAGTTGAGAACGTACCTTAGTACCATAGAAGAGGTTCAAGACAATTCAAGGTGTTCGAGCAGTGACAGAGGGACTCTATATGCTCGATTGATGATGAACGAGAAAGGATGAAAGTATGAGAAAGTAAAAGGATTGTGTTGTTGCTGTTGTTTTTATTGTTCTTGTTATTGTTGTTGTTAGAAGAGACGAGAGTTACAAGTCGTAAGCGAAAATCAAGAATCAAATATCAAGAATTATATTAATTATTTCGAGTCTGTGCCTGATCGGGACGGAAAATCCCAGGCCACCGGTAACTACGACGATGATAAAGAATTATAATTATTGAAAGAGAGAGAGAGAGAAAGAGAGAGAGGGAGGGAGGGAAGGTATGTTTTGGATGGGGTGAATGAGGTAAAGTCAAGGGACCAGAGAATTTACATTTACGTGGCCTTTTATTCTACAATCAATCATAGACTTTGAAGTGGCTTAAATCAAGAGCAATACTTCGTGTTTGACTATGCTAGATAAGTAGTCGTCTTCCATCTGTAGCGCTCTATTCCGCTGGATCTTTTGACTGGGTTCCCAATTGAGCTGCGAAAGGCTAAGAGTTAGCAGATAGATGATCGTTAAAATTATGTCAAATTTGTTCGAGTGAATGACAAGAACTTGTGTACTACCTGCGGAGAAAACATCATGAGTTGCGGTTCTTGGAGCAAACATATATTGAGCAATGTATATAATGATGAGTGTCATTCATTTATTAATAATTGTTCTTCCTATACAATGACAGCACTCGTCCCGAGTAGTTTGTATGAGTGAGCCCAAATTTTATTCATACTCCTTACATTCACTTGTAGAATTCTTGCTGCAATCATGGAAGCACTATCTTAATTTGCGCCAAGTATTGTACCGCAGTGAATACCGGATTGAATGTATAAGTTTGCCGATATCAATTGGTGTTTGCTGAAGAAGAGCTGTAGAAGTTAAAAACTGCAGTGCAAGTGAGCCTCGTAGCCTCAACTATTTTGGATACTGATGGCCTCACCGGCGACAGAGATATCCACACATTACCATATTGTGCAGTTGCACCAGGAGGCTGAGTTCGAGGCAGTGAGGCGATTGGCAAATGTCATTCAATACTAGCTAAAATAATTATATTTGATTTTGGCTCCTGTTATAAGTATAAGTCTGTCTCCGCACTTTGCTACCATCTAATAAAACTGCGAATCCTTCTCCAGTCCGAAAAACATGTGGCAAATTCCCTTTAATAGATTTGAAAATCGCAGACGACATGAGTACAAGTAAAGCTGCTTCGCTCGTATACTCTCAAAACTTCCCTCCAACGACCAAATTGCCTTCAGAAACCTCTAATCCACCAATAAAGGACTCTCCGAACCACCTTGACTTCCATAACTCTGGCTCATCGTTTGAAACTGCTGCGTACCCATACCCATTCCACTTTGACCCGCACCATGACTTCTCGGAGTCACCATATTATGTCCATGTCCACCGTGACTACCCATACCATTTCCCATCATACCGTGACCACTCATCATTCCACCATATCCACTAGTATTAAAGGTGTAGCCAGTCTGCTGCTGGTTAAAAGCACCCGTACTACCCGCATTAATACCACTAGCATTTATTTCAACACCGGCATACTCCACAACATCTCCATACTCGAGTCCATCCGCATCTCCATGAACACTTCCCCCACTCGCACTAATACCCCCATCACTATAATATCCAACCAACTCCCTATTAACATCACACAGTCCCGCACCAAGACCCATCTGCAACCCTTCCTGTAGTTGTGTACTTGGAGAATCCTCACGATCTGCTTCTTCCTTTACATTCGCATGAGTCCTCATCTCGCCTTTGATTTCCTTTTTCATTTTGTTCTTGATTATAGAACTTTGATTGGAGGACTCTTCCTCATCATCCATATTCTCTTCCTCACCAGAATACTTCCGTTTCCTGCCCGAACTGGGTTTGTTGCGTGCGGCGGATATGGGGGCTGACGAGGAGCCGGAGGAGCTGCCTGGAGCGGGTTTGATGGATGCGGCGTTAGGGGCAATTCCGTGGGAGCGCATCATGCGTTCATAACGTTTTGCGCTGGAAAGAGGAAGGCTGTTAGCTGGATGTGGATCGTATAAGGGAAGGGAAACGGACGATGAGAATGGAAAGGGAATGGAAAAGGGAGAAGGAAGGGAACTTACGCGGCACCTTTGGTGACGATTTTACATTCTTTGGCTACTTGACCGAAGTCTACCTGTCTGTTGTTAGAATTACTTCTTGAGTGATTGCGAGAGTGACACGGATATGGGAAAGTTAATTGAAGGGAAGTGTGATGGAGTAGGGAAGAAGGGGAGTACGAAAGTACCTTTCCATTGTTACTGTACCGAATACAACTGATAAGGAACTTGAATTGTTCTTCATTGGAAACTGGTGCCATTTTGGGCGAATTGTGGTAGTTAGGAGTGAACTTGCGTATTGTTGAGATTTTTTCGACTTCATAGATCGACTGCCCAAGACAATCAAAAAGTTAGTCTTCTTCAAAAAAGAGGTCAGACCTTTCAGCATTCAGCCTGGAAGAAAGTAAATTTGACGGCTAGGGAAGGGAAGATAAGGTAGGTCTTCCGATCTAGTAAGACTGACAAATTGAGATGAGGGGAATGGAGGGAGGACGTCCTTCTCTTTAATGTCCAGACTGTAATGGAGCGATTGATACTTACTGGCTTGTCAGGAATGGTCAATTTGCAGATTTAGGGCAGGCTACCGTTGATGGCAGTTTGTGTGCATGAAAGAATTGGGAATTCAGTTGTAAGGATGGAGTGGTTGAAAGCTGGTTTCGTTGTTTAATTTGGAGATGCTCAAAAGTGATGGATGGGTTGTGGCATCATAGCCGGGTCAGTGAATACTAATTTCTTTAAAGAAGGGTTCTTTCAAGCTTGGAAACAGCAATTGAAAATCACGGCTCACAAGTAGAGAGTTAAAACTTTAGTTAGGGGAAGTGGTATTCAGAAGCAAGCTCTGAAGGTACTATGGCTATCGTCATTGACCATGCAGCAGAATTTTGACCTCATTCCCCTTATAATATCCTTCCTCAAGATATATTCGCGCCAAATGAAAATCAACGTTCCATGCTCAATACCAGAACCAACTTGCGAACAAACCTAATAACATCCATCTTGAGCTGTGCCATCTTCTCGTCCGAAATGAACAAGTCAAACGGAGACGGGGAAAGGGTCGAATTTATTCGGAATCCTCTGTCGAAGTTATCAGAATTAGCCAGTGTGGATGCAAGCGAGGGAGTTTTGTAAATATCATGCGTATGTTCTGATAAAGAAATCTTGGAAGAAAAGCAATGCAAGAAGCCATGGAAGAAAATCTAGGAGAGATGTCCGGAGTCTCAAGCTAAGCTTAGACAACACCTCCCAGGCTGGGGGATCTTAAAATTCCGAAAAGTCGTTGTAAAAATTAAGAGCCCGCCACTCTCGGTAAGCAGGGATAGACATATCATACTCATCGGCCTGAAGTTGTTCGTCGAGCTCGACTTGCTCATCAACTACATCCTCACCGACTTCGACGACAGACATCTTGATATCCTCATCTGATGTCTGAATACTTTCAGACAATCCAGTAGATAGGCCAACTCCGGTATTTTCTACAGTCTTTTCGGCTGTGAGAGGAGAGATGTGTTTTGGTGACTTGCCATCTTCGTCGACCAATACTGGATCCTCCAACGCCTCATCACTGTCAACATATTCCTCCTTGGCTTCCTTCTTGACTGTGGCCTTCTTTCCTCTGGGTCTGGGGGTAGCTTTGATGGGAGTGTTGTTGGCGCCAACTTTCTTCTTGGGAGATGCTCTCTTGGTGGGGCTGGGAGTCTTGGGGGGTCTAGTGCCATCTCCACCGTCTGGAGAAGGTCCAGCTTGAGCCTAAAGAGTTTCGAGTTAGTAACGTTATTAACATAGGACTGAGCATACAAGGTTGTGATTTCATGACGAGAGTAACATACCTTCAACTTCTCAAATAATTTCTTGAAACTTTGACGTGCATTCTTGCCGTATTTTACGTCAACGCGAGAGGCGACGCGCTCAAAGTCAATCTATGTAATAGTGTCAGTGGCTGGTTACTCATACGTGAGTGATGGTACCATCTTTGCATGATGGATGTGGTGAGACAATCGAAGGTTGAAGGAGACGACATAAGATGAGAGCTACCAGCTCTTATCATACATCCTAGGACTAATATGATATAGATAAGGATATAAATTTTAGGCTGATATTTCAGATGGGTTGAAGTAATAACATCTTGGACAGCGCACCGCAATGGGGGATGAGAAATGGAGACAAGTACTCACAGTGTTAGGAATCTCACCCATCTCAGACATAACAGCAACAAGCATCTCAGTTTCCTTCGCAGTCAAAGTCAAAGCCGACATCTTTTCGTTTGCTGAATCTGTCTCCAAGTCAGCTCAACTTTACTAAGATCGACCACCATTACCTCACAAGACTTCGAATGAGCCAGAGGCAAAACTTACTTTGTACGAGATGAAATGAATTTTTTTTTGAAATACAGCTGTTGTGCGATTTGTAATTCTGGATGCGCAAACTAAATCGCAAAATCGCAAAATTATTGTCGTCGTCGTGAAATTGTGTTGCAAATTGGTGAGTGTGGAAGTGATGGATAGAAAAGAAGTGAAGCAGGTTAGTACCAGCACAGAGCAGAGGACATATGAAGCGAGATTCTATACTTAGCGATACTCGGAGTAGCAGGCAGCAATAAAAATGAAAAAAAAGTGAATAATCTAGATATTTCTCTTTTGATGTTGCAGCAGATCATTTCAAGCCTTTCAGCCAAGTTTGGGATAGAAATGAGTTATTTCTACATTAAGTCAAATTACATACCGAGTATGGAATATGAAATATTGATAGCAGGTTATGAGCATTATATAGAATATGATATAAATCCTATCATCTTTCCGTTTGATTGCCATTGTTTGCACAGACCTCATATTGCTTTTCCCCCCCTCTTATCCTTGATTATGAGGAGAAAGTCGGCTGGGGTGCTTTCTGTTAAAGCCATTCACCTGGTTGATCTTGGAAGTAACTCAGCAATTGAAAAAGAAATTCACAGGTCAGGTATAGAGATAATAAAAGAAGTAATAACCTTGTAAAGATCCTTGATATTGTAGTTCCTGAAACAACTCAGGGTTGTGGCCAGAAACAAACGAACAACTACCTATGAACCATCCCTTTTCCTCAAAACGAGGAATTGACAACTATTATTATCCATGGCTGATAAGTTACTCTCTCCCATACTCTCTTTAGTATCTATCGTAGACTCAAATCGCCATAGACATGAAAAGAAAAGGAAATCGTCAGAACTTTAAAGAACTAACGCTCAATAGAACCACCTCGCGACACCCATACCGAGCTTTGGTAGCATATATGCCACTTCGACTAATGAAAATTACGAACACCAGCCCCAGAGTCGTGATGATGAGAAGAATGTTTACTCATCATCTTCCACTTTGGTCTCCTCCATATCCTCATCCTTAACGTCGGTAAGCTCTTCGTCGGACTCGGAGGCAACCTTCTTTGCAGATTTCTTGACCGGAGTCTTTTTGGTAGCAGCACGAGGCTTTGGAGTAGCCTTGGACTTGGTTACTCGGTTCTTTGATGGGGTGGTGGAGACGGCGGGCTCATTATCACCGTTGGCGTCAGATGCCTTCGAGGTGTTACCCTTGCCAGGCTTGGAGGCATTACCAGAGGCCATTTCTTCGGCAGTGCGGCTGGAAGCACCAAAGGGAAGGTCGTACTTCTTCTTGATAGTAGAGACCTTGTTGGAAACCTAAAGTACGAGGTCAGCAAAAGGAGAGATTGGATGATTGAGGATATGACTTACTGAGCGAGGGTTCTTGTAGTTCAAGAGTTGAGCGACTCGCTGAGTATCGACCTTGAAAAGTGGGTTGTTATCAGCTATGGAAATAATCGCTCAAGATGCAAGATATGAGAGATGAAAGATGAAATTGTAGAGTGAAAGTGAAGAAGATACGAAATGAGGTGCGCGCGATGAATTTTGGAATGGAGAAAGCAATAATCCAGTCACGATGTGGTGTGACATTCATTATATTGCGCGGAAACTAAAGAATTGGAAAAGTTTACATGAGGGTGTATGGCTTGAAGATAGCTGAAGGTTCGGATAGATGATTGTGAAGTTGAACTGTGGAAGTGAAGTGATGCAGCAGCGGCGGTGACAGATCGAAGATAAGAAACAAAAAAGAAACAGCGTAGAGAAAGTCGCAGCGCGACAATGACTCACCTGAATGGAACCACCAGTGGTATTGCGAAGACAGCACATGAGGAAGTCAACATCAGCCTGGCTCATACCACCGTTGGCCTGAGTTACAGGGCTAGCCATATCGTTGTCAGACATTTTGACTTGTTTTAATAAGGTGTTTTGTGAGGAGGAATGCGATGCGACAAGATGATCTATATACACAAGACCAGTCAGCACAATAAAAGTATCACAAAAGGATGAAAGTAATGATACATACATGATGAACTTGCAAAGTAATACAAGCAATCGATGGATGTATTGAGAGTTCGAGTTATTGAATGGTATGGAAATGTGCGTGTTGTGGGATGACTGAGGTCGAGGAAAATGTTGTGTAAGTGAGATAGAGAATGCAAGTTGAATGTGCAATGAAGATGTTCTTATATGTCTCCATGGAAACCCGTACTCGGAGGAGAAATCCCTCATACTCTCCTCGCTTATTTTAATGAGGTGGAAAACCTGCCTTGCCATTACATTCACTAAATATTGTCTGCAGATGTTCATTCTAAAAGATGATTTCATTGGTCTCTTCACTTTTTCAATGAATGAATATGATCGATTTTTCAGTTTTGAGCTTCCATTTTACATCTACCGTAGCCTTGGTATGGTATCATGCGCGGGGTAATGGCTCCAAATGAATGAATTATTGAATGCATGTGCTGTACCCGAAAAGCTCGAATCTTCCTGTCAAGAGTTGTGAGTTCTCCAGCCATAATCGTAAGCCAAATATGAAACTTTAAGTCCTTCTATAGTTAGCTTTCTTGATTCTAATGGGAGATGCATTACTAGCATGGAAACGCGATTCTCAAGGGGGCTGTCAGGGGCTTCAACTTGAGGGAAAAGTCTACATGTAAGAGAAGGAACATGGTGAAAGCATTCCATACAAGCCAAAGATGAATTCATTGAGCTTCAATCATGTTATTCTGGCACATTATAGATGATTACTGTGAAGATGATGACAAAGTGTATGATGCCATCAACAGCAGATGCATAGTCAGATATCATAACGTAACGCAATACGCGGTAATGAGTCACAAAGCAAATCCTGGAGTTTTTAAGATGGTTATTGGTACCGAGGTAGTAGTGAACTATCCATGATGTGATGTACGTTCGGCGAAGGCGCTCATCTTGGAAGAATGATCGAATCTGAAGATATAATACATTGATCACTAGACTGAAACTCGCGGTATAGAACAAAAGCAACCATTCCCGTGGTCAAAAGTCCTGCGGGTTCCTGGGGATGAAGTCATGATTCTGCAGAGATATGAGTAGTCGATAGATATCCTGATATAACATGGTGCACAACCCTGGTGTCAAACTATGACTGTGTTCTACATAGAACTAGCCTACCGAAAGACGGTGGGGGGTGAAACGCGGGGTACTCGTTTTGTGCCACAAATGCTTTTCTATGGAGTTCAAATTCACTACAAGTGACCGAGGTGCACACAGAGCTGTAGTGTCAGATCATTCATTTATTACCCGTTTTATCCCTTCCACATCTCAACTATTTGCATATCTGCTTCTACCTATCGTGCGTTTTAAATACCTATTGACATGCGATTCAAATGAATCCCGTCGAAACAAAAACGAACCCGGTTGACCTTCCCAGTGATTTCTGACTCATATGTAACCATGTGCATATGCCATTTCTGTACGATCTCATCTGCGAATGAATATTTCAATGCGAATTGGCATATCATCTGCAAAACACATTTAGCCTTGCAAGGACATTATTTGGAAAACTGTGAAAGACTTACAGGCATGCAGACCAATCGATCTTTAGTTAAGCCTCAGTGACCTTTGCATCATCAGCATCGTAGAAATGCTCGTCATCGCCATCTTCTTCCCTAGTGTCATCATCCGTGTCTCCCTGATCACTGACAGCAAGGGTGTTCTTATCCTTGTCATATCCAGGATATGTCTGCAAGTCGAAGATCTCTTCATTCTGATACTCATTCTCGGAGTCGAAATCATCACGCTCATTAGCGCTGGTGATGAAATTTGCTTCGTTGTCATCGTTTCTCGATATGACGTATCCTTGACCATAATTTTGTGCGAACTTCGACGGCTTGTTTTTGTCAACATTCCAAGGAGCCGCAACCTTGGTAGTCTTGCGCGTGACAAATTTGGGAGGTTTGGGGTTAGTTGCAGCTCCTTTGCCTTTACCACGCTTAGAAATTCCGTCCACAACCTTAGGGATGACTTTGTCTTGATAGGTTTCCGTGCCGTAATGATCTCGAAGTTTGCGCCTAATTTGTCCAAAGCGAGTACGAGCCGAAGTGGCATTGGCATAACCAGCACGATGAGCGACAAGAGCCCAATCAATCTGTGTAAACAGACAGAAATGTATCAGTAAATGTAATCACATGATCGCTTATAAAGGGAGTGATTGTTTGAGAAGTAGAGTCGAAGGTAAAAACAAGAATGAACAAGAAAAGTATATGATTGCAGCTCTCCCACTATAAGGAATGAAATGGATTGATACTTACATCAGGGACAATTCTCATAGAATTGAGAATGATAAAAAAGAACTTGGCATCTTTTACAGTCGGCTCACGGGGAGTAACATCCATTATGATAGGTTTGTTGAAATCATCTTCGATTCTAAGAACCATTAGTGAAACGAATTCGCAGTGAAATGAAGAATGTTGACTTACTTCTTGATTTCAGCTTTAGTCAAAGGACGCTCAGTCTAAATCACAGGTCATTAGTATAGATTAAATTTTCAAGAGAGAATTATATAAAATTACCATCTTGAGACAACGAAAGTTTTCAGGATGTTGAAATGAAGTATGTGATCAAGTATTGTACTTGAGTAATAAGTTGTTTTGGAAGTTATTGAAAGTTGTTGAGAGTTATTGAGAGTTGTTGGCAAGGTGGGAAATTTGGGAAAAGTTTTGTGTTTTGCGGTGGTTGCTTTGAGATTGCGAACTTGTAGCAATTTCCCTAGTAATCAATGGGTGGGAACGACTGAAAGTGAATAACAACAACGAAAATGAGGGGTAAAAAGAATAAAAGTTTTTCTTTCCAAAAGAATCCGAGGTTAGAAACTTCACTTGAAATTAATCTTTGCCCTTCAAAGTGAACTTTCTTTCTGCTACCTTTCGAGGCAATTTGCGCCGAAAGAAACTTGAAGGAACCCTAAATCAATACGAAAATTTACCATGAGACTGTAAAGCACAAATGTCATTGGCTAAGTGGCCATTTCATGAAGATAACAAATGCCTAAATAAAAATCAAACATGAACTATTGAACCTTTGAACCATTCATTGTATAGAAATTCATGATATCATATCTCACATTTAGACCTTTAGTAGGGTCTTCGGGAACTGAAAATTAGTGGCTTGATGCAATCCTCTTGCTAAGGTTACCCCCACGTCTCACCCATTCGTACAACCTCAATCTTCACCGAGATTGAACAAGAAGAGTAGGAAACATGCGTTTGTATTCATGACTGCAAACACATAATCCACAAAACACAAGACTAGTAGCCAATGATGATAGAATAAACTTTGGATATATCTGTGACATCATTTGGAGGTCTGAGACTTCGGGATCATGGTGCTGCAACCATAACGGGCGTTTGCAAGTGCAAAGAAAGATACCGAGGCAAACCGAGGAGGAGAATGGACTGACTACTGTAGGTTTGTAGATGTATGTTCAACTGTGCCCGAAGGATATCAGCCCTGATCAATTTCAAGAGGTTTGAAAAATCTCGTATGGATTTTGTTCTCCAATATCACAAACCGTTCGTTACCCAAGCTGTCAATAATTACTTTCTCGACCTAAGTTTCCTGTAAGTGCATAACGTATTCTTCTAACAGCCGACTTGACGTATCAAGCACCACAAACTTCATGAGTTCTTATATTCACGAGTAAGACTTCGAATTTCTTGGTTGCACACCAAGACATCTTCATTCTGACCTAAATACTAGACATGCATGCTCTGAAATCATCACAGTATTAGTCAGTCTCTAAGGAAAGCCATTTTTCTTCCACGAGAGTCTTCTCTGTGAAAAATCCCCATGGTTTCGTGCACAGCTCCACGACCAAATGATCGAAGACGGTAATTCTGCAATTGAGTTATCGCCCATTGAAACCTCGTTTCCCGTCTTCCAACAAAGTCGAAGAAAGATACTTTATCGATATGAAGACGACGTTCATACATTCATTCAATTCTTCAGTTGGATATATGGTGGTGCGTACACCATGCCCCGACGTGATCCAGAAAATTACAATCGTGCAACACACATTTCGGAATGGATCATACTCCACGCACTAGCGGTAGAGATGGGGGTCACGGATTTGGCACACAAAGCTTTGTGGGAATATATCCATTGTAGGGATACTTTACGAACTGGATATTGGACGCCCCTGCCTTCAGAAATACAATATATTTACGACCATCGTGCGACCACAAATGATTTGCGGATTCTTGTTGTTGAAAAGGTTCGTGGTCTTTTATTCTCAACTAGGTTCGACGGGATGAATAGACAACTATCCACACTTTGCCGCCACCACCCGGATTTCCACGCCGACGTTTTCCAAGAAATCCAACGCCATTCAGAACAAGCAAATCACTGTGACTATGGTGATTGTTCCATGCATATTTCACACAATACATATACCAGCCGCTACGCAAGTCCAGATCCATACTTTGAAGTTGAGTCGCCTCCTCATGCGTCTGAATATTTGGACGATATCTCGGAATTCACATTAGATGATGCAACGCTTTCTTTAATATCGAATCGCGGTACTATATCTACGGAAGAAGAAGATGCGTATTCGGAGCAGGGGCGAGATGAGGCAATGGCGGAATATCATGAGAGTAGGGATATAGCGATGATTTATGATCGGGGGAATATGATGTCGATTCTGAATTAGTGGGGTGGGTGGTGTACAAAAGAATTGTTGGTACGGGCTCTAAAAAATGGCTTGTCGGATTGATATGTTTAAGTTACGCTTAAGTCGGGATGTACTGTGGAGTTCTGGGAAAGTGGGCAGAGCAACCGGGTTCGGGGATCTTAAATAATAGCGTTGTTTGGTTTTGGCAGATTGTTTTTGGGATTTCATGAGACATGAGACATGATAGTTCTGTATATGTTTAGTAACAGAACAAGGGGCCTGGCCTGGGGTACAATATCCAATAGTTCACAATACATAAACATTAAAACCTCGCACGCTCAAAATTACTACACCAAAAGAACTCCACATTCATCATTCGCAAATATTGATACCATATTACCTATCTCATCCAAAAGAGTTAGCTCTACCCTCAATACACAATCCTATGCCGACCCTCGGAAGACAGGATTCTGGTAAAATAGTTCGTACTCATAAACTCCGAACGATCTCAAGAGTCACAAAACTGGAGTTTATGACTACCGGTAGTGAGGAGTGGGGTCTTTATGTTATAGAGAATCTTTTCGTGGTCGTCAAACAAGGTGTACTCTCGGTGGATAGATTGCTAGCGTCTTTATGTAGAGCAGGCCAATCGAGACAGACCTCTAATAAGTATGCGAGACCGACCTATATGTTGCGAAGTAAAGCGCAGGTGAAAATCTCCCAGTAATACCCAATATTAATTAGGCAAGGTCAACGCTCCGAAACCCCATTACCCCACGAAGTATGGGAAAGGGGCATACAAGCGAGGGAAATCAAAGCGCCAACCTACTGTACTTGGCCATTCAAGCTCGCTTGTCAGAACGAAGCCTTCTCCCCCCACTCTCAATCTCCTTCCTGCCAATCTGCTCCATAACGGCCTTTTCAAATTCCGGAACCGCTTTTAACGACCTATGCCAGCTTTCATTCGCATCCGCACCCAAGTCTCCAGAATGGTGATTATTCACTTTGACCAAATGCCACATTTCCGTCATCGCACCCACCAAAATCTCACACACCTTCGAATCCCGCTTTGTCGAGTCATAAATTGAGACGACTTCTTCTGCAGTGGGGATTGTATGATTATATTTTCGATCATACAGACATGTTCGAAATCGGTCCAGAGAACGCTCGCATTCGCGTGGCATGCCGAGGTAGGAGGCGAAATTGTAGACCTTACACTAGGCAACGAGGCAGCCGGTATGTCGATCTGGATCAGTGGTAGGACAGCCCGAGATCCCTGACGTACAAGTATGCGATGAGTTGAGCCATTGCGTCGACAGTATAGAAGTTTTCGGGGTGTGGGTCGTTGTCGTCCCCATCATCTTTCTCAATATTGAAGTTTAATTTTTGGCTGGCGGGACGGTCTTGCCATAACTTTGCGAAGAGCTCGGAGGCGTTGACTGCGACGTATCTATGAATCTCGAAGACATGGGACCGGAATGTTATGCGGAATTTTTGGGCATCTTTAGGTTCCCTAGAGCTTGTCAGTTTTAGGATGTGATATTTGCTGTAAAAATGACTTACTTGGAAGGTGTGAGTGGAAGATTCTTCTTTGGTGCCATTGCGTTCTGGTAACTCTAGGTAGTACCGAAGAGATCTACTGAATCTTGATAAGAGTATCTATCTATTAAGTGTTAGATTGAGATAAAGAGTACAGTTGAGTTTGGTCGGCGAAAGACAAACCTTGTGTGATGCTTTGTAATTTCTTTTTGAAGATGCTCCTTTGGACTCCTTGAAATCAGCCAAGTTATCTGATATTCAATATCGTATATGGTAGAGCTTTGAATATGTCAGATAGAAATATCCTTATTCCGTACAACTACTGTACTTCATATGTAGAGCTAATGAATCCGGCCCATGCAAGCCTACCGTATCAGTCTGCCTAAGTGAATATCATGAATTAAAACGGGACCGCCAATTGTGAAAGATTTAGAATGTATTTTGCAAGGTATGTTTTGAGCGACAATGAAGCACTCTAGGATTTTCAACCGCTTATATCTTGGAGCGACGAAAGCAAGCGAAAATGGCTGACAGATCTTGCACCAAGACTTGTGTGCAGTCCTTTCTTATCTTTTCTTTAATCACCGAAATAACCTCATTTTATGAACCTATTCTGGATCGCTGAGGCTACATTCCGACATCGCAGATCCCATTAACAGACCTAACATATTGAGTTCCTCCATCTTCTCATCGTCTCCCGGATGAGAGCAATCATTAAACGGCATCGCGCATGATTTGTGACCCTTGTGTGCCTGACCCGTCTGAATGGCATATAATTAGTAGCTGGAGGTTTATGCATGCGCTAAGGTCTAACCGAGACTTACAGGATGTACATGGAAGTGACAGGGGCATAGTTTAGATCTATGGAGCATGCTGAATCCTTCATCCAGATTCCATGCGGGTACGACCATCTCCGAACGGCGACCCAATAATTGAAAACTTCTCGAAATCCATTTGAGCATGCCGGGAAAGTATCCAGAAAGTACGATGCAGTTCATCATCACTTCTTGGCGAAGCTTGGTGCAGCCCCGATCTAGAACGGCAGGATTCAGCAATCGCTTTTCAAGGGATGTTTTGGGATTATTTGAACGGGATTGGAAATGAATCAAAGAGTGATGAGGTGCAATGAGAGCAAAAACCAAGATCTGCCAGAGAGATAGAGATGTAGGGGTAAGGGCTGTGAGATGAGAATGATTGGGTCTGCATACCAAGATGCATGACTGTTGTTGCAATACAGAACTCGCGCAATGTAGAACCTGTTTTCGTCTCTTTCCAGATTTGAGTAGCAAGACCTGGTCCAAAAACAGTACCGTACTCAAGGTAGCCGTCCTGAATGGCATCAATGGCACGATTCATGAGATCATAGACTTCCCATCTTTCACCCAATGCATATAAGCTTGTTGGAAGTGCAGTCTAGGCTCACACAAGATCACGTGATACAGTTCACGTGACATTGTCTATATACACGTGCCTCACACACTTATATATATATCCAATCCTATTAAAATATCTCTAAGGATATATATATATAATATTATTATTGTTATATTTATTATAATCTTAGTAATATTTTAATAGATTATAATCCTATATTAATTATTGAATATAGCCAGTTTCGTGACGTATATAATATATGTACAGGGTACGGCTAGTGGCCGCTAGTCTAGTATACGTATATATATAGCTTCTTCGAAAGCTTTCCTTTTTAATATTCTTTAAGTTAGTTAATAAGTATTGAACTTATTATATAATATCCAGTTTATATGATTCATTATTCAATTATATTTAATTTATAATTCAATAGGTTATAAGTCTGGAAGTGTTAAGTTGATGAGTGAGTTTCTGTATAATTAATTCATTTTCTAATTTGAAATCTAATAAAATCCGATATAC